ATATATATATATATATATATATAATATATATATATATATTATATATATATATATATATATACATATATATATATATATATATATATATATATATATATATATATATATCAATTGTTATTTCTCCTCTCCCTCTCTCTCATACGTACATATATACGTACATACATACATTCATACATACATACACACATACATACATATATAGATACATACATAAACATACAGATATACATGCACACTCTCTGTCTCTTCTCTCTCGCTCATTCACACATAACAACGCTACAGTGACGACTCTCTTATTCTACCGACAGAAAATTCGGAAAATACGTTTCCGCGCTATAAACTAACTTACAAAGAGAAACAATTCGACGGATCGAATCTGCATTATTCTCTACAGTAGCGTTTATTATCTATAACGGAATATAGAGCTGCCTCTCGGGTGAAGGAAATGATGGAGAGCGAAGGGAGGCTCGTTCAGACGGGGACGTGATGTACGGGCGAAAATGTATGTGTATGTGTATGTGTATGTGTGTATGTGTTGCTCATAACGTCACCGCCATCGCCGCCGCTGTTGCTGTCGTCGGCGTAGTCATTGTCATCACCGTCGTTCCAAGGATGCGTTAAACGAAACGTCAACATCGCGTGATATCACACGCGAATCACTGAGAAAGAAGTATCTGAAGCGCCTCGGAGGAGGAACCGATCGGATCTGGTTGCGATCAATAATGAAATAAAGGAAACTCGCGGGAAAACCGAGCGGGCACGAGTAAGAAAAATTGAGAGCGAGAAAACGAAAGAGATAGCGCCAAAAGAGCGACTGTTTTCACATCTCTCGTTGTCTTGATCGTAGGAATTACTTATGCTGATCGTGTGCGAGCATGATCCCTCACCTTCTGTCTGATCAGTCTGCGAAAGATATTTGTAGTAAATCATAGTATATACTTACGTTACTGGTGAAAATTTCTCGTAATGTGTCCTGTTAAGAATTCTTTCGAAACTCTTATATTAGCATCCTATTCAGATATTGCTCAATACTTTTGCACGTTTTCTATAAACTAAGTGAGCTAAGACTGCTGTCTGTATAAAGAACAGAAATATAGAAAAATAGCTTCGTTTACCAACGAAGGCAGTGATACGTATATACGGAGAAGTAAAGGGAGGTAGATAGATACTAGAATAGAAAAGGCGATATGCGTAGCCCGACCTTACAAGATGACAGTCAAAAAGACGACCTTAAAATACAAAACCTGACTAAGAGGGTCAAGAACGTGGGGAAAAAGGGGGAGAAAGCAAGGAAGAATTGACAACGGAGCAAGGTAGATACGAATGATTTCGTAACTTAGCTTGCCCGTGGAGCGGAGAACTGACGAAGCTAACTGCAGCCTAAAAACATCGTCGGGTCCATCGATCGATCACCGAACGGTCGAACGATGGTTGGCGAGTGATTGTCGCCGGGGAGAGGAAATCAACCGCGCCACGTTTCCTTCTTTTATTCACGTCGCTCGTAACCTGTGAGACAAAACGTGTCGAGCTTGCGTACTAACGTTGACGGATACCAGTTTCGTTGCAACTTATCGTACACGCGCCCAACCTTCACACGAAAAGACGTTTCGTCAACTTGGAAACCAGCGTGGGGACTATACGCACAACTCGACGACACTTGCGGCATCCTCGTTCCTTCGCCTCGATCGCGCCTCGTCTCACCCGTCAGTGCCTACTGCGTGTACCGTGCACGGCGGAATTCGCTCCGCCGTCACCTCTCGTCTCGCAATAGGCAGGCAGCAGAAAACGCGTAACGTCTACTCAACATTGACCCGATCGAAAAAGAGGGAGGGAGGGAGAGAGAGAGAGAGAGAGACAAGTGGCTACGCGCGACATTCCAAAATCGCCTTGCAAAGTTCCAACCTCAGATCGCGTCCGTCGCATTTCCTCGTTCACTGAGAGTCTCCCGCGAAAATTTGTTACACTTATACGGCAACGTTTCTTTCTTCAGGATCCTCGCGCCAATACGTCTACGTATTCTGCTCGCGAGTTTTGCGCCGCAAAGTCCTGCGGGATTGCCCGGTGTACAAAGGACGAACTCGAACCGACGATCATCGGTTAACTGGCTGGCGAACTGACGGGATACTTGGACGCACCATTAAGCTCGAGATTAACGAGTGAACGGCGCGAATGTCCGAGATTGTCGACGAAAGCGCGCGTCACGATGTTGTCTTGTTGCGTTCGAGCTCGTGCTTCGTACGGCTCCATCTTGAACGTCATCTGGTTTCAACGATAGTTGTCGTCGCTGTTGTTTTTTGACGTACGTTGCAAACAACATTTAAGCGTATGAGGGCGCCTGTGACAACGTCGTACGGCATATGAAGTAGTTCTGGATTCTCTTTCTTGTAATGTGAATGGTCGTAGATGCGCGTTGATACCGGTGACTTTTGTTCAACAGGGAGGAAACTGGGGGATGCAACTGTCCTGTACTGTGGCTGGTATTAGCGACGGTTTTGATAGCCAGGGTTGCTTGGGTTACCGGGCTGTCGCATACCACCGCCGCCCCTGCCACCGTCGCCTCCCCGCGAGAATCCTCCACGTCCGCCTCGAGCGCCGTGCTGTCCGCCTCTCATTACTCCTCCAGGTCCACCTGATATTGAACGAGTAACAAATTAGAGAAATTATAGAATGATACATTGGAAGTTGCGTCAACAAACTTGAGAAAGGTTAAATTGGTACATGTAGCAAATTAAATCAGGCAAATTAGTAAATAAGAACCGTCTATGAATTTGTTTATATATAAACTAAAAGAAATAAAAAAACTTTTCTTGAGTATCATCAATATTTAACGTAAAGGACAATAAGAGTTCAAGCACTGGTTGAATAGTGCTATTAAAACTATTAAAAAATAGTGACCCAATCTCACAATGAGAAGAAATTTATTAATCATCAAACGCGTTCGGTCTAATTTCGCAGATTTTAATCACTGAAGAGGGTCTGCAAAATTAGACCGAAACGCGTTTGATGATTAATAAATTTCTTCTCATTGTGAGATTGGGTCACTATTTTTTAATAGTTTTAATAGCACTATTCAACCTGTGCTTGAACTCTTATTGCCCTTTACGTTAAATATTGTTTATATATAGATAATTGTCTTATTTTACATAGACTGTATCTGCAACATTACCTGGGCCACGCTGCTGCTGCTGTTGTTGCTGTTGCTGTCCGCCCATGGAACGTATGCCACCATCTCCGGAATTCAATCTTCCACCACTACCGTCCAGAGACATTCTAGGCCTCACCTTTTTCTCTTCCACGTTCAATTTCTGTCCACTCTCGTCAGGATAGTAAATAGGCTAAAATGACAATCGTAATGAAAACAGGTAAAACGTCATCTTCATTCGAACGAATTCGTCATAGTTATTTCAGAGACATACGTACCAAAGAATTCAACACCTTGGTAACAACCTGCTGATCTTCGAATGTGATAAAACCGTAATTAGGCACTCGCGCAGTATTGTTTCCGCCTTGTGGACCCTTGCACCTGTCATTCGATTTACTGTGCACACGCAACTCCGCAACTCTTCCGTAACGCTCGAATACCTGACGTAAATCGCTTTCGGATGCATTGTGCGGTAGGTTGCCCAGGAAGAGTTGATGAGCATCGCTGTATTGTCTTGTACCACGCCTTTCTCCATCTAAGAAATCATTTTATTCGTTATTACGGTAAATGAAATAAAAACATTTATCGTTTATCATTCGTCACGATCATTATTATCATGAATTATTCAGCGTTATTACTCACGAGGCTATCGTGCATACGTTAGTATGCTAGTACGAGAAATAAGATGCAATATAATGGTCGAAGTAAATTTTCGATTCGCAAGAATACAAAGCTACTCGTTGATTTGATACAACTAAAAATTAAGTAATTCTAAAATTCATTAATTAAAATCAAAAAATATAGAAGTCAATGTAAAATAAGATACAAATGTCAATCTAATGAACATATATAAATTAGAAAAAATATATGCAGATAAAAGTTACAAGTCGAAAAGTTTTGATCATTATTGGTCATCTTTAGACGAATATGCAATATCGAAATCTTGGGTAACAGACAGCATTACCATCAAAGATTGATATCTGAGATTATACATATAAAAGGTCAAAATAGTGTTCTAAACGCACAAGACAGTGAAATGTTACATAATATTTACTTTTCGCTATTGGACTTTGTAGACATGTAAGAAATGTTTGTTTTCGTCTAGTATTCTTGTTCCTTTTCAAATTTTTTTCATGTATCATACTGCTAACTTGCTTTATATACCCTTGTTCGTTCCATCACTTGATATTAGATCTTTCTTCAAGTAACTAGTTTTAATTCAAATTATTTCTGGACATATAAAATATATCTATCTCGACTGTGAGTTTTTTAATATTATTTATTAAAAATTATTCATTGCTATGTATTGTATTGTTATTTACAATTTGTTAATTTGTATAATAAATTTTCACCATAGTCTGTGTATACGACATTGAATTAATATTAACAATCTAGTCTTCGAAATCCTGAAAGTCATCAGAAGAGAATCGTCTATCAAGGATTGTCGACATATTTTCATTTGTATAGTGGTCATATAACTTTCCAAACAATATGAAATTTTTCAAGTTTTCGCTTTCAAAAAAAAATTATATAATCATCCGCGCATTTAGTAACAATTGTTACCTTGAAATATGTTTCTTTCAGTTTTACATCGTATAGTTCTGTGACTCTAATTTATTATACCTACGACTATATTTTCTATAATTTTTTTTATAAAATTATTTAAAACTTTTATCCTGTGTAACTAACATATTTTTTTAATAATTTATTATTTTGTTAATTCGGTTAAAGATGACCACAATAATGGTCAAAAAGTTATGATTTGTAATATGTATATGTGTGTGTGACTTTTTAATATATATCCTCATTAAATCATCATTTAGCTTTTATCTATCATTTATCATTTGGCGTTTATATACTTTTTGATATATCTAATATTTCTGAATCCACATTCCCACGTCATCAAAGGAAAATTCACTTTCTTTATCAATTGATATTTAACTGCAATTATACTACGTTCACATATAATGAAACTTTTAAAATATAATAGATAACTACTAATGTCACACGCAATTAAGAGACCAAAATTTCAACTGATCAATTTCAATGATTCATCGACATTATTCTCTTGGCTTACAAATTATTATTGACTTATATATTCTATATAACTAATTATTAGCTTGAAAATTTCTTAATGATTAAAAATCTGAAAACGTCAATATTAAATCATTATTATGATATAGTATATCGTTCTCTTTACCTCTCTGTACCAGACCTCCTCTCGGAACTCGTTGCTGCTGCGGATGCTGCTGTTGTTGTGACGGTGGATTTCCAACCCGGTGCGTCTGCTGCTGAACTGCAGTCACGTTGCCGGCAACAGTCAGCGTCGATCCATTGTTCGCAGGATGCAACGGCGTTCTGTCGTCCAAGCGTAGATTCGTCATCGGCGGCTGTAAGAAGAGAGAAAAGGAAGGAGATTATTGCTGTCGTATAGAAAGCGCGTTTACGTCACATAACAGGAATAAAATTTACCGGAGAAGCAGGCAACTTGGGAGTTTGAGGACTCGTAGCGCCTGTGGTGCTTGGATAAGACTTCACTAGGTTCGCGTAAGTCTTAGGCCCATTGCTGTTAACGGCGACATTGGAAACTGGCCGTTCCGGTTCAACTTCTTTCGGAGAGGAAGTTTCCGCCTCAGGTTTCTCGGTCCTCTCCTCCGTCGGGGTCTGCTGCTCGTCCTCGCTCTGCTGTTTTTGCTGCTCGCCGTTCCCGTCGTGTTCTTTCTCCTTCACGAACTGGGACTGCGCGGTCGGCTCAGCTATGTACTGATGTTGCTGGGCCGGAGGAGGCGGCGGCGGCTGTTGCTGCTGTGGAGGCGGTTGTTGATTCATCAGCGACGCCTCCTCGTGCACTGATCCGTTCAAAACTTGTTGCATTACTTGCTGCACCTGATGAACCTGAATGGTCGTGGATACACACAACTATATTCAATGTTAAAATATATAAGTAGAACTAAGCAAAAAGCGTTGAATTATATATTTCCGATCAAAAGTTCTTCCGTGACATAATTTCGACAATTCTTTAGACAAAGTCTTTTGACATAATATTATAATGATCAAACATAATATTATAATTATCAATTTTAAGATTCTCGTCGATGAAAAGAAACAAAAAATAAATGTAAAGTCTATACAACAACAATGCTATACAACAATGAAAAATGCTTTCCACAGTGGTAAGCTAGAGCTTGATTCAGCAAAGAGCATATTAAAAGTCGTACAAATTCGACCGACACTCCCGTGGAAAAGGTGTCCACGACTATCTTCTTACTGTCTAACTTATATTTATTTATAGTTTAACAATAATAAATATATTTTGTATAGACTGTAGTTTCATATAATATCTAATATAATATCTAACCACATCGTAGTGATAATATATCATGTCTGCTATACTAACGTGTGGCGATGGAGTTGGCAGCCCACCATAATATATTGGCGGCTGCTGCTGAAGCGGCGGCTGCTGTGTCGGGATGAGCGGCGGCTGAGTTTGCTGCTCGGGAGCGGTTGCAGCTGGAGCTGCTGTCAACTGCTGAGCCTGAGTCGGATGTTCGTCTTCCTCAGGCTCGGATCGGCCGCTCTCCTCGACCTCTCTCTCGCCGCTCTCGCCACCTTCCACACCGCCTACGCCATCAGCTTCTTCCTCGTCAGGGAATATCAGGTCTTGATAGCGGAAGATGTCGTTATGGACGTAGTAGGTCTTCGGTGCTTGTATCGCCAACACAAAGGTTTGGGTGAAACGACGCATCGGTTGACCAGCGTTAGACAATTCACCCGAAACCTACGTAATAATCCAAAGTAAATACTTGAGAATACAGTAGTTGTTATAGAGAATACAGTAGTGCATTATAAGAAATATCTAAAAGGATACTTGGAAAATTATAATATAATTAGAAATTGTTAAATTAGGAGCAACAAATACATGATGTATAAATAATTTATAAAAGTATGAAAAGCGAATTAAAGTATAAACACATGATTATACTTTACTTTTAAAGTATAATCTAATAATATAGTAATAATAATAATAAAATTTTATATTCTACTTTTAGAATTGTAATAACTGAGTGAAACTGGTATAAATTTATATTAAATATTTATCGCTATGACTTATAATCTTATCTGAAAATAAACGAAATTCTAATGTTATAGAGATTACATAGACTATAGTGTTTTAAAAATGTACAACTATATTCTCTTAATTTATGATAAAGTGCAAACGCAATGGTTCCCTTTCAATTAAATTTATATAAAATTGACACCATTTACCTGCACAACGACACCATTTTCAAGAGTAAGCTGAGAATCGACTTGACTTATCTTCGCGTGGCAATCACGGAAGTTCAGCTGTTGAATCTTCTGATGGATCTGTTTTTGACCAATTGCTGGTGTAGATTCTCTATTGGAATCTAATCCTCCGTGTACAAAGGAAGAATGTTGATTGTAGAATCTAGTTACAAAAATAAATCGTAAGTTATCATCGTAAGTTATAGCGTTTCAGATATCTTCTGGATATGAAATTTAAACTTGTGCGTCATCCCGGCTGATAAGAAATCTGTCACATAGATTATACTTGGATGACACAGGATATGATCTGTTAGATGCTTCAAGGTATTCTATCTACATAATAAAATCACTAATTCTACGTAAAAAAAATACTTCGGAATCCGAATAAAACGTCGCGAACAGACCATATTCGTATAATGATCGAGTTATCGATTTTTCGAGAACAAATCCGTTTGGTAGACTGACAGATTCATATATAATATACACAGATATACACACACACATATACATCGATAACGGACAAATGATATTCAACAGTTATACAAGCGTCGAATAAAGTTTGATCGACATCATAAATTCAATTTACATGAAAATACGAGCAAGTACCTGTGAAGGTGGGCTGGAGCTTGATTCAGTAAAGTATAATATTGTCGGACAAACTCGCGACCGACACTCTGCGGAGAAGGGGTTGCCTCCATGACCATCTTCTTACTGTCTAACTTCTAAAATAATATCTTGCTTCCAACAGGAAATTAATCTTCGATGGGATAGTTCTAAAATTATTAAGGCAAATGTCTGAAACAAAGAAAATTTGATTCTATCATTAGAACATCGTCACGCAATTAATCGCCATAATATTGAGAATTAAAAATAAAAGATAAAGTAAAAGAAAATAACAACTAACATTAATAGGAGCCATGTATATACCTGCATATACTATCGTAACAGTCATCAGATCATTTAAGCCACTTCTAATAGTTCGATAAGAAAAGAATGGCTCTTAATAGAGAAGTTGAAATAAAAACCCTAATTTTATAACAAAATATTAAACATACTTTTACATTTTCCTATAGATACACATATTCTTTACTGAGTAAAGAGTAGGGGAAAAGTCCAAGTAAAGAAGCCAACTGTGATGCCAAATATAAATATATAAATATTTATTAAGTGATCTCCAAACATTGTGTTCAAATAATTTCGTACAATAATAACGTTATGTATCAGATATATATCTTATAAAAAAAATACATGTTTTTCCTTACATCATATGAAATGTAATTCATTAAAATTAAAAGTTAATGCTGTGGAAAATCGAGATAGTGATGTGATATTAAAAGTTGAAAATTCTACATATGAGACCACTGCAGATTCTTTGCTACCCAGAAAAGTAAATTCTGTTCAAGATATTTACAAGTAAATTTTGATTGATACATTCATGTAATTTCTTCTGAAATTTAAATCCATTTAATATAGATTAATCTTTCATTGTAACTTGGTTTATTTTGAAGCTCTCTATGTTATAACAAAAAATGATTCTATTTAAAGACAAGTTCAATATTTTATTAAAGAAGAGAACACTGAAATTACTGAAATCTATAACTTATTAAAGACTATTAATTCTTTGTTTGTTAAACTGCTTGCAATAGCTCAAAAATTGTAATGTCTGTTAAGATGAGCAGTCTACATGTAAAAAAATATTCCTTACACAATAATTAGTATTCAAATAAAATAATTCACAAGACAAATATTAATTAAATATTAATTAATTGCTAGTTATGTACACATAAAAGTAAAGTAATAATACATAAATAGAAATATTTTCCCCTATTACATCAGCTTTTTTACTTAGATAATTATCACAAAAATATCCTTTAATCATCATCTATAATACTCATAAATATTAAAAACAAAATGTTTATAACATAACCATCGAAAATATATATATATAAATAATTTCATAGTATAACTAAATATCACTTATATAAAAAGATAAAAAAAATAGTTCTAAATATTACAAGCTGAAAATATTTTGCGTATATATTAACCGCAAGTATTTCATTAATCCACACAACACATTCCCAGCCGAATTTTGAATCGTCAATGGCTATTTAAGCTTTATTTAAAGGAGCACGTTGCGAATGAAATTTCAGGATAAAGGATACTACAACGTGTGGTCGCTCGCTGTGTACATTTACCGTGGACAGAGGGCCAAGTGATGTTAATCGTTCAATTTTCACGTGCAGACGCTCGGTTAGGCTTTGTCTACGAGAATCCCCGCGGATATTCTCACGAGCTGCGAGTCACCGCTGAAAAATGTAGTAACCGATCCGAAACTCGAAAAATCGTCTTATTACTTAGCGCGCAAATAATCGGAGCGATACTGCGTGCGGCAAACACAAAGGAACTGGCGACGCGCGTAGCTCGGCGAAGCGCATGGCAAAATTTTCGCGATGCCATCTCTCTTTCTCTCTCTCTCTCCTCAGTCTTCCTCCACCACCCCCATATCCCCTCCCTCCCTTCGGTACTACACAATTCCTACCCTTTTTTTCTCGAACCTTCTTGGTTCGTCTTTCTCTAACAGAGAATGAACGAGAATTCGCATAGAATAGCATTAAACCTGTACTGCACACATCCTCGGTGTAGCACGTGTCTCTCTTTCTCGCTCTTTCTCTGTCCCTCCGTGCTGCCGAATCGTCTTCCCCCTCTTCCCTACCCGCCCCCGAAAGAATACGTTTCTAGATGTTTCCGTCCACGGGACGGCGCGAAACAAAACGAAAGCGAGGTGAACCGTAAAAGGAAGAAAAACGAGTGCGTGAGACGAGAAGAGTGTTCTGCTGGCGTTCTCGCTCTCTCGCACCTCGTGCAGGACGAAAGAGCGCGGTCGCGCCCGGTCGGTCGTTCTTCTCGCTCACGCAAGCATGGCGATATTTCCCGATAGCCCCGTGAGCGCACACCAACGCGCCGACGAGACGTGGACGGGGGCGAGTCGCGCAACGATGGTGAGATCGCTATCGAAGCACCTGCCGCGCGGCTGCCCGAAACATGACAAACGTGTCGCCACCGGGAAGCACCATCGCGGTCACGTCGGGATCGACGGTGCGGCGATAACAACGGAAGTGTGCTCTGGCGTACGTGCCTCACGCTTCCGAAGCCGATCCGAATGCCGCGCAAACGAGCGAGCAGACGATCGCATCTTCGACGAACGAACAGCGTCACGTGGCGAATACGGTGACTGTGTTCTGCGAGCAATGAGCGCATGCAACTCACCTGATACAACAACCGAGTACTCTCGCGCGCAGCACAGACGCACTCTTGCTGTCTCTCTCTTCTTTCTTTCTCTGGGGCAGCTACTCGACGCGACCGGCGGCGGCGGCGGCTGCTGTTGATGATAGAGCTGTTTGTTGTGCACGTTCAGCCGAGACCGAATGGTACGGGGGAAAAAGGTGGCTCGCGAGAAAACGCCGAGACACCGAGTCCCACAGTCGTGATATCAATTTATAAAAACAGTTTGCGACGTTATAGCTGTGTATTACTGTGAACGCGACCTGCCCACTCTTGTCTGTAGTAGCAGCAGCACCGTGGCGTCAGCACATGCAGCGCACAGCAGATCTACTAACCGTGAAGCCTCCAGAAAGATATAGACGACTGTGCCGCTGATGTCTCGCTCCCATCTAACCACCTCTGAATCTCACTGCTGAACGAGGAGGTTTGTGAGGGCGCTATTTTATTTATCGTGCAGCATACGTCGTCTGATTGGCTGACGGGACTGATTGGCTGACAAAGGATTTCTGAAATTTCTAATGTTTCCTCCAGGCATCGTACAAATTCTCTATGTGACAGCCAATCAATATATTATTTTTCCGTAAGAGCTAGAAGGTTATTACGGAAAACAGCATATTGATTGGCTGTCACGCGACTTCCGCCGCGTGGCATTACAGCGCTTGTGTGCAGGAGCCATAAGGCTGAGTTCACACTGAACGCGTCACGCGTCGCGTCGTCTGCCTGCGTCACGAATTAACCAATAATGGCCTGGTTTACATCGTGCACTTGATACGCGTACTAAATAGTAACTTTTTATTAGATAATCTTAACATCGACGATATATATAAACAACGGTATATTAAGCTAATATAATACTCATCAACAAAACGTATTGTATTGATTGAATGCGTCGCCGTTGATATGCATTGGCGATATTAAGATTATATAATAGAAAATTACTATTTAGGCTGCGTTCCGAAATTTACTGCCAGTACTGAAAATCTATAGTATATGTAACATAAACTATAGATTTTCAGTACTGGCAGTGAATTTCGGAACGCAGCTTTAGTATGCGTATCAAGTGCACAATGTAAACAGCACAAGCCTATGACTTGTTCGTCTTCAGAAATGCACCAATCAAAACAGAGTATTTCCATCCAGCAAGCAATCCAGCATGAAAATAAATATCGTGTGCCGCTGGCTTAACAAAGGGTGCTTTCCAATTGCAATATCCCTAGACACTTTCATGCACACGGCGACACAAGTTGCATTCCAATTGTCGTAATCGTCGACACAACACTACACATCCGTACTTAGCTCGAAGGCTACTAGTCGGCTGTGTAAACTAGTGTTTTCTAGTGAAAATTCAAGTTAATAAGCGTAACGGCTTGAAAAGAGACTGGCATTTGCGACGTGAAGTGGATAATATCTTTTTTATTATTTAGATTTTATTATTTATTATTAAAAAATATCAAAATATAAGCATAATTGAAAAATAATCCTAACCTTATCCGACATATATACACATTAGTATACATTTTGTTCCAATTGAATCGTGCACAACGTTACACTTTGTGCATTTCTGTGTACATATGTGTTAAGATGTGTTAAGCAATTGGAAAGCACCCAAAGATAGGATGATATTTGTGTCGACTTGTGCCTCTTGTTGGAAAGCAACCCAAATCATTCCATTGGAACAAGTGCGTCGCGTATCGCGTTATCCCAATTAGAGGATTTGATTGGTTAACTCGTGACGCAGCAGACGACGCGACGGGTGTATATCAGTTGGACACGGGGCAATTGGACACAGTCCAATCACAAGTCGCTGTTCCAAGGGACTCTACAAATGTCTCTAATCACACAGTGCTGTGATTGGCTGTGTCCAAATGCACCGTGTCCAAGTGCACCGCTCCCCGACGTGACGCGTGACGCACTCAATAGGAACGCACTCTAATGGCCCCTGCACACAGGACGTGGTAATGCTTGCCGCGCGGCGGAAGTTCGCGTGATAGCCAATCAATATGTTGTTTTTCCGTAAGAGCTAAAAGGTTATTACGGAAAGCAGCATATTGCCGCGCGGCAAGCATTACCGCGTCCTGTGTGCAGGAGCCATAAGGGCACAGAACGGAATAAAAACGAAATTATTCTGATTGGCTGACTCTCACCATATCTCTTTTCCGTAACTATTCCGTTCCGCTATTCTTTCTCCTCTGAACACATCCTCAAACTTCTCTCTGACATTAGCCATAAATTCCCGCCATTTCGTCATGTATGCGCAGGAAACTTATCAGTTGGCGGCCACTTTCAAAGTAACTATATTTCGACAACTTTACGTTTTGTTTGTCATGAAAAAAAGTTACCTACGCAAGGGTTTTGATAGATTCATTGCTCTGCATGAAACGATATGTTTATTGACAATTTTTTTTAAGTGAACCAAGTTCGTTAATATAAATTTGTGTTTACGTCAACGAAGATATGCGTATATCCAAAAGTAAATTCCAGTTTAATATAACGATATAACGATGAATAATATAACATTAGATAAAATTAAACATAGGTAATTATATATATAATTATATATCTGAATCTTTCATACTAACCGGCATAATAGCTTATCAGCTATTACGCCGATCTGTTTACGTATTACGTAACAGAATAAGCAAAGGTTAAGTGTACATATGTTATCTTTACAGGAAGTAACATCTCACGGACGTGATTCCTAAGAAGACACAACATGCCTGAGAATACAACTGGATTTGGACCTTTAATAGGTGCTATTGATGAAGGCACCAGTAGTGCTAGATTTTTGGTAAGATATTAATTATTACTTCAGTTCTTTGTAATAAAATAGTAAATTTTAGTATTGTATGACATTCTCTTTAATAGTACTTCCTTCTTACTAAGTTGTGAAAGAAAAGGTTTTTCTATTGCAAACAGGATAATCTATTTAAAATGTTATATGTTATTTACCTGAAAACTATTAAAAATAAAAACAATTCTTGATAAAATTCAAAATTTCATTTTGTAAACAGACTTGAAATACTTCATATATTTTGTATCAGAATATATTAAAACAAATGTACAATATTTTGAAAAATATCTACTTGTGATATAAAAAACAATTTATTAATCCACTTTATCATAAATCTTATTTATTTAGGTTTTTGATGTATTGCATAGAAAAGTAGTTGCCTCACATCAGATTGAAATCAAGCAAAAATATCCTCAAGAAGGATGGGTAGAGCAGGATCCAAACGAAATATTACAAGCTGTCATAGAATGTATAAAAGAAACTGTAAAGAAGATGAAAGATATGCGTTTATCAGTCTCTGATATCAAAGCTATAGGAATCACTAATCAGAGAGAAACAACTTTGGTATGGGACAAGGAGACTGGAGAACCTTTGCATAATGCAATTGGTATGTAATAGTTATATAAGACTTATTATAGTTATGTAACTTATTATAGTTATGTATTATGACTGTTTCCTGTTGTTGTATTGAACTTTAATGGTCTATCTGCACTTAGCTGATTTTTTAATTTGACAGCCAGTAATATCTAATCAAACACAATAATGTTATATGATATATTAATGTATGTATGTGTATAGTGTATGTGTGTGTGTATGTGTGTGTGTGTGTTATGTCTCTGACGTCACTAATATATATCATGTTTGGATAATTGTTGAATATTTCTTTGTGAAAATTTGATGAAGCTATTATTCTGCTACTTTAATCCTCAAAATTGTATATTGCCTTTGTATATACATATATATGTGTTGAGCACTAAGTTGAATAAGATAATTACATAAAATTTACTAACTTTCCAGTATGGCTTGATATGAGGACAACTACGACTCTAGATGATGTATTGGATAGTGTTCCTAATAAAACGCGAAATAAGAATTATTTAAAGCCTCTATGTGGCTTACCTATGTCTCCCTATTTTAGTGCTCTTAAGATACGCTGGTTGATAGATAATGTGCCACGTGTGAAGCAAGCAGTAGATGCAAACAAATGTGCTTTTGGAACAGTTGACACTTGGTTAATTTGGGTAAATAAGTACTTTCATTGAACTAATAGCTTGTACATAGTATTAGTAGCTTGTGGATGTCACATTTAGAATATACATATCAATCAAATTTCATTGAAGGAATATGTATAAGTATATTAGTTCAATTTATTTGACATTAAGTAGTATCAAACTCAGTTTAATTCATTTCTCCTTATTTGTGTGTGAATTATTATTTATATTATTAATTTATAATTAAAATATATTTTTAAAAAGGAATATATTAAAGTAGAATATATTTTAGAATCTCACAAAGGGCCAATTGCATATTACTGATGTATCGAATGCATCCCGTACGATGCTAATGAATATTGAAACATTAAAGTGGGATTCTTTGTTATGCCGTTTCTTTGGCATTCCACAACACATCCTTCCGGAAATACGATCTAGTGCGGAAATCTACGGTCATATTTCAAACCCTGAAGTTCTTGCCGGTATAGCTATAGCAGGTGTAAGTACACATAATATTAAATAACCTTTTGAAATCTAGTAAATTATATAGATGACTTTTTTGTGTAAGAAATAATTGCGTATATATATTTCAAGTAAATATACCGTACACTAATTACTTTTCTTTATGTTTTTTTGTCTCACAGTGTGTAGGTGATCAACAAGGAGCTCTTCTTGGTCAATTATGTTTGAAACCTGGCCAAGCGAAAGCCACATATGGCACGGGATGCTTTTTGCTTTACAATACAGGAAATGTAGTATGTATAACACAGAACGATCGGGTGATATAGAATGCATAGCAAACGCTTTTCCTTTGTGTATTGAAAGAGGCACTCGAATAATAACGAGAGATACGAAATATTGCTTTGCAGAAAGTCGATTCAACACAAGGTTTGTTAACCACCGTTGCTTACAAGATTGCACGATTACCGCCTGTTTACGCATTAGAAGGATCTGTCGCTGTTGCCGGTGCTGCTTTATCTTGGCTGCGAGATAATATACAAATTCTTACTAATATCACGCAGTCACAGGATATGGCAGAACGTGTGAGGTGTTCCGGCGATGTGTATTTCGTACCAGCTTTTTCAGGGCTGTACGCGCCTTATTGGCAACAAGATGCACGCGGGTATTGTTTCTGACTGAAAATTTTTTTATTCTTCTATTTTGTACTAGCATAAAATTAAAAAGTTCCTTTACAATTACATATATTAAATCAACAATATCTCAAGTTCACACACATTTCATATCTTTCAAAGTATAAATTCTTTGGTGCATAAAAATTTTTTTATATAATGAAAATTATTTTTACATAGTAAGAACAAAATTGAAAACTTTAAGGATGATTAAGAGTAAAGCTTTAGAAATATAAAAGGAAAGTTTCAGTAAGATAAGATAAAAAAATTATATATGATAAGTGACAAAAAGTTAGACGATAAGATATATTTAAAAATTAGTACTTTCAGAATATTTTTACGTTCTTTTTAAATGTAAATTAATAGTTAGATGTATATTACTCCATATAATATAAAATAATTTGTATTTGTTCAATAATATTTAGTCTAGTTAGAATTAGTTCAATAATATCAGCAGTTATATAGTTGATGAACACACGAGACGAATATGTTAGTAAATTAATATTTCTGCGATCTATACATTTGCAGTATACATAATTCTTTTAAGATCAATTTATTTATTTACAAATTAAGAGACGAAATATCTCTGAAGTTGCTAGTTTTTGGATTTATTAAATTTCTTAAAACTTTTTTGTTTCCCTTTCAGTAAGTTATATTATTCTTCTTATATTTTATTTTCACTCTATACAAAGAATGTATTCGAATGTTATGTTTAAATATTCTCTCTGTGCAAGTAGTGAATATACTAATATATATATTTGATTTTTTTATGTTATTTATGTAACTTATTTAAATCAGAGTAATTTGTGGGATTACCGAGGATACGCAGCAATATCATATTATACGAGCAGCGTTGGAAGCAGTTTGTTTTCAAACGAGAGATATATTGGAAGCAATGGTGAAAGATTCCGGAACAAAACTGACAACTCTGCAAGTTGATGGGGGTATGACAGTAAACAGTTTACTAATGCAGTTACAGGCTGACTTAACGGGAATAACAGTCGGTGAGTAAATTATACCAATATGGTTTCTTTATATGCATTATATATTCACCCTTATAATTTAACAGTGCAACGCAAAATATATTACAATTAAAGGATTAAACGTATCCAGAAAAACTTATATAGATTCATTATTAATTCATTATAACATAATTCATCAAACAAATAAAATTTTATTTTGAACAGTGAGACCAGACATGGTTGAAACAACGGCGTTAGGTGCTGCAATTTTGGCTGGTATTGGTGCAGGTTTAATTGACATAAATGAGGTGGATGGATCTCAAGTAACTAAGTTTTCACCTGTAATTAGTGAGGATGGTAAGCAACCGTATATTTCTTTATAACATGTCAGTGGTAATTTAAGTAGCTGTAGGAAAGAAAAATATATGATAATAATATACATAAATATATAAATACTGATATTATAAGTACTATTGCTAGTAACTATTAAGGAACTTATGCATTATTAAGTACTATAAGTACTATTAAAACTATTATTACGTCATACTAAAAGTAAATTAAATGCAGTTAAAAGCAGATGTATAACATATTGAATATGTAGGCCTATATTTATATTCCATGTGTTGTGATCTTACTTTATCTCCTTATTAAAGAAATGCAATAATAATGATATTTCTTTTAGACAAAACTTGAGTATTTCTTTTTAAAGACTGAGTCTGTTTGATTTGCACATATCTATTGATAATTTTATAATAAATTACTAGTCGAATTTATCATATTATATAAATATTATATAAATATTATATGAATATTATATGAATATTATATAAATATATACTATATGAATATTATATAAATATGGGACATAAATATTGGCTTATAAATAATATAAATAAAAATAATGAAGCATTATAATCATTTCGTTTTAGAGAGAGATCTCAGGTATTCTAAATGGAAAATGGCTGTTGAAAGATCTATGAAGTGGGATTGTTCAACGACTTTAATGAATAATTAAAGTTGTATGCACATGCCTATTTTTGTACCGGATAAAAAATAAATATTTGAACACATACATAAATTGTAATAAATTATTGTGTTGAAACATCCGTAATACAATAATTAACAATTCATTTCATCAAATATATCCCGATTTTCCACTTTTAGAGTCCATCTTAGAGTACGCAATAATTTTTCTCAAATAAATTTTCTGAAATAAATTATAAATCCTAATAATATCCAATCATTATCCAATCCTGTATGATTTATAATGTATCTATAACGATACAATATAATCTATAAATTATATAATTATATACATCTATATGTCTATATATCTATATAATTATATACATTATGTCTAAATTTTATATATATATATTATGTCTAAATTATATATACAGAGTGGACCATTTTAATCCATCCAGTCGAATATGTTGAAAACCAAGCACGGGAGAGAAAAATGTTTCAGACAAAAGTTGTAAGGCTTAAAAAAACGCATTCAACAATAGTAGTTATTTGACATAGGATGGCGTCGCCAAGGTCAGAACAAGGTCAACTTTGCTTTTTTAAATAGAAACACATATTTTTTATTACGGCATTTTATTCAACGTAAAAACGCAAATAACTTTTGCTTGAAAAAATTTTTTATACGACCTCTATTTTCTAAGATATTTACGTAAATATCTACAAGATTATTGGTTTCAATAATTTTTTACTTGAATTCTGTCAACTTTAGCGGAAAATATGAAGAGATAAAAATTGTATATTTTGTTCTCATAGAGCTCTGAGAATTTTTTCAGAATTTTATATTAACTTTTTAGTACTTCATTTTCTTACATTTTCTTGAAGTACTAAAAAGTTAACACAAAATTCTGAAAAAATTCTCAGAGCTCTATGAGAACAAAATATACAATTTTTATCTCTTCATATTTTCCGCTAAAGTTGACAGAATTCAAGTAAAAAATTATTGAAACCAATAATCTTGTAGATATTTACGTAAATATCTTAGAAAATAGAGGTCGTATAAAAAATTTTTTCAAGCAAAAGTTATTTGCGTTTTTATGTTGAATAAAATGCCGTAATAAAAAATATGTGTTTCTATTTAAAAAAGCAAAGTTGACCTTGTTCTGACCTTGGCGACGCCATCCTATGTCAAATAACTACTATTGTTGAATGCGCTTTTTTAAGCCTTACAACTTTTGTCTGAAACATTTTTCTCTCCCGTGCTTGGTTTTCGACATATTCGACTGGATGGATTAAAATGGTCCACCCTGTATATATATATAGGATGCTTCTTCTCTCTAACTCGACTAACATAGAATTTATTTACAATTGCCTATTAGATTTTATTTATATTTTATAGTTTCTGAATCTGCATGTGTACTAGTATTATCTTGTAGCGTGCGGTAATAATCGCGTCACCGACCGCAGGTCATTATCATGCGAGTGACTAATATATATATTATAATTGCATTATATTATATCATGTTATATATCAATTATATCTCATTAATGATTGAGTCCGCGTCAAACTCGTCTTTTGGTCTTCAACACACCTACGAGTGTTATTATTATTAATATTATTATTTTATTTATATTACAGAATATAATACAAAAAGAAACAGCATTGTTTATGTACGAGACATTGACGAGCTGCAAGTATCAGGCTTATTCGAAATTTTTGTTTTTGACGTAAAATATTCTACCCGCCCTGTTGATTGATCCTGTAAACTCTCGGGACGAGCACAGTGGATCAATGTTGCGCATGCTGGCGCATGTGAGATGACGACACGTGAAATGCTGCGTTCTGTCATCTCCGCGTCCCGTTTCTCCTTATCGTCATACTTGTCCAGAATCAGTCAGGCAAGGACAGTTGAGCGCGTGCACTCGCAAAATGAAGGATCACGACGGAACGGCCCACCAAAGAAAGCCTACGAAACTCAGGAATCTGACGGACAAGACGGAGGCATTTGATTCCTTGCACGTGAAAAATGCTGAGGTATTAAAAAAACTTTTTTAAAGCTGTTGAAAATATGTTGGTAGCGTATAATTAAAAATGTAATAAATTTCTTTTCACCGCGACTAATAATGTTAAACTTGTTAACTTTATAACACGTATTTATGTGATAATAAGAAAAAGAATAATAAAGAACAAAATAATATGGAATAAAATGTTCTGTAAATTTTTAGAGAACTCTTTGCTCGGGTCAAGTATGTCTCGGTAGTGTGATGCAGCTACCGACTCACGGAACTGAAGCACGCACGAAGGAAGAAATATTAATTCACGCGAAAGATTTCCTGGAGCAATATTTTACTTCTATCAGAAGGTACCGGAATCGCCAGTGTTCTTTAGATTTTCTCAATAACAGGTGGATTTTTTATGTTTCTGGTGAATTCATGTTTTATCCTCGACGCAGGTTGAACAGTGATGCTCATCGTACCCGTTGGGAGAGCGTTCAGAGAGAAGTAATGTCTACCGGTACTTATCAATTAACGGAGACTGAATTGGTTTTTGGCGCAAAATTAGCGTGGCGAAACGCCGCGAGGTGCATCGGTCGTATACAATGGTCGAAATTACAGGTTTACTTTGTCATAATATTTACTTTCGCAAAACTTTCGCGATATTCTTGAAGAATTTTATTAATTTATGAATAAAATAAATTTTTCTATAGGTTTTCGATTGTCGTTACGTTACAACTACGAGTGGTATGTTCGAGGCTTTATGCAATCATGTAAAATACAGCACAAATAAAGGAAACATCAGGTGAAGTGTAATTTTATAATATAAAAATTTTTCAGTGTGTGAATATTGCAAGACGTGCATATTATTGTGTAGAATATAATAAAAAGTGTTTTTTGAGATTATAACAAAATTGTATAAATTTGTTTTTAAAAATTCGTGTATTATTACAAACATTATTTTAATATACAACGCACACTTAACATGTATATTTGATTCTTGATATGTATATTATTTTACAGGTCAGCAATAACAATATTCCCGCAACGTACTGACGGAAAACATGACTATAGAGTGTGGAATCAGCAATTAATTAATTATGCGGGATACAAAAATCCAGATGGGACCATTCTTGGTGATCCTGCCAGTGTGGAATTTACAGAGGTATTTATATATAAGAAATATATATTTAGTTTATATATACTCATTTATTTAATATATAATAAATTATATTTATTAATAAATATATACACATACATATATAAACGTATATATGCATACATTCATTTACATACACGCTTCAACTAAATAGATTCATTATTAATTATATAAATAAAAGCATACATATATATTCAATAATTTATACATACATATTTATACATATATATGTACATACAGAGCATCTTATTAAAATATTCTAAGTATGTATTTTGGAAAGGATATGTTTGATTAAAGTTGAAAATTGAAAATTTTAATGCGCGAAAAAAATTACATTAACATTAACATTAATAAGCTATTAACCAACTAATGACATAGCATAAAATACACTCGCGCTCAATCCCGTAGTTGAAAGCCGAAAACAAAATCACCTAAGCAGTGCAAATCAATATCAGCGAAGCTGTGAAAATCAATAGCACATGACTGATTGGTGTCCGTGTACGCATGATTACCGAGCATAATTATTGAGCGCGCGTACCCTATACGATACCAACGGTGAATTCTAATTGCTCATTAATTCGAAAGTAAATTTCGATTTTTGTGAGAGCAATTCGGAATGTGACTTCGACATTTCCATACGTTTTCGCAAAATAAACGAAGATTATTTCACTGTCGAAGAATAAACTTATTAAATTTCTTCCGTGTGTCATACGAAAGTGTACGAAAGCAATCGCGTCGCCGCGAAGAAGGCACGTGACATTTTTTAGATATTCTATAAAGAAGAGAATATATTCGAATATATCGAAAGTATTTCCAAAAAAAACTGTAGCTTTTGCGCTTCAACAGGTCTGCATGAAGCTAGGATGGAAAGGAGCGCGAACCAGATTCGATATATTGCCGTTGGTTTTATCCGCCAATGGACACGATCCAGATTATTTCGATATTCCCAGTGATCTAGTGCTCGAAGTACCTCTCAATCATCCTACGTAAGTTAAAAAATTAAAAATTTTTAATATAAAAGCAATCTTTTTCTTTTTAATCACAAACAAGAAGTCTGACATCTTGACAGCACGTTTAATTTTATATATTTAAATTTAAATAGATGTTCACATACAAACCTTTAGATGTAAAACGATAAAAACAAAATATATAAATGACAACTAGAACGGATGGATATATATATGTATATATATATATATATATATATATATATATATATATATATATATAATGATAATAATGTATATTTTAATTAATAATTCTCTGATTTCCTTTAAATAAAATACCGTCTTCGTCTAAATTTATTACACTAAATTAAAAATTGTACATATTATATAATATGCCATAATTACGAGGTAATTTTTATCATAGAATAATGTTATAATGTTGGACAAAACAGGTACGATTGGTTTGAAAAATTGAATCTCAAATGGTTTGCCGTTCCGGCTGTGTCCGGAATGGTTTTCGATTGTGGAGGTCTAGTATTCACTGCAGCACCTTTTAACGGCTGGTACATGAGCACTGAAATTGGCTCCAGAGATTTATGTGATACACAAAGATACAATATGCTTGAGGTAATTTTCTGTATTTGCATATTTTCATAATTCTTTTGGTATTTTTACTTTGGTATAATCATCGTTAATTTTAGAAACATTATTTTGTCTCCAATGATTTTTACCATTATCAGGTCTTCAGTCAAATTTATGTTAAACGAGAAAACATTTTAACTTTGTTTAAAACTAGTATTGCAATGAGTCACTTTGCTAAATAGTCAATTATTATTAAGCACTATGTAAAATGGAAGTGACGTTTTCAGACAATAGCGACAAATATGGGTTTAGATACAAGGACATCTACATCTTTGTGGAAGGATAAAGCAATGATAGAAGCTAATGTCGCAGTGCTACATAGTTTTCAGGTGTGAAATCGATTGTTTCTAAAATTTTTATTTATAAAATATTATATTATTATTATTATCTGTAATTTTCTTTGAAGACCGATTTTCTGAAAAATATTGCAATGAAAAAGGATTTATTCTACAATTTTTTTATCATCCTTATTGTACTAAAGATATCAAATTTCAGAGAATTCTCGGAAAATCGGAAATTTATGAATTATACAAAAATATTTTAGAATATATATGTATAAAGATACTTTTCATAAAAATAATCTAACATAAAGAGATTATAGCCTGTAAGAGCTTAATTGCGGTTCTTTGAAATTTAACCCTTTCGTGCTTCTGGGACATATATGTCCCACTTACAAAAATCATTATAACTTTTAAACAAATAGTCCTATCGACTTCTACCTTAACTTCTTTTAATGATGAAGGTTTAAGTTACGTGTATCTATCGCACATTTTGAAATATTATGTTTTCAATAAAATATAGTTATTTAAACTTTACTAAAAATCCAATTTTTAAGTAATGAAGAATAATTTTTTATTATGTCGAAAATTCATTGAATTAATGCTAATTATATATTAAGAGAAAGAAATTTCAAAAGCATGGACTTAATTCTCAAAAGAACACAGAATATTTGGGCAACGACTACTGCGGCTTATTATGAAAATAAAACTCTGTTTTCTTCTCTTCCACGAGTCGTCGCCGCAATGTTAATTCTCGTGTAAATCTGTTATTATCTCTATTACTTAGACGTGGCGATGTTATCGTTGACAGGATCGTTTCACTTTTAGCCGAGCTCAACAAAGGTAATTTATATTGACCGTTTTAATTATTTATTATATTTTAACCTATTTTTATTTTATTTTATGGTTTTTTTATAGTTATGACGGCTACTTCCTAGTATTAATTTGAATTTCTTAATATTAGTCGGGTAGTCGGTCTTGTCAGCTATAATACTGCGAATAACATTTATGTCATTTTATTAAGGTCATTAATTAATTCTTTTACTTGTAATGCGTTCGTTTTGTAAACCTTGAGTTTTTATATCACTGAAAAGGGTTCATGATTGAGCCGAAACGTTTGATTATTTATATTGAGTATTCATGTTCAATAAATATTACTCTATTTCCTAACACAAGGAAGGTTTTACCCATATGGTACATAGCACCATTAATCCTGTGCTTAAACTCGAATTAGCCCTTTTTCCTATTATTTAATTGCTAATATATACTTAAAGTAAATATATTGCTAATTATATACTTAAAGTCTGACAGCAGTACATGACAGCTTTATCAATTAGAAAGATCTTGTGTTTTCATCCTATTGTATACTATAGCGGTCGTTTTTCGCAACTCTAACAGACATATTTGCATACTGGCAACAATGTATTCAGAAGTTCCTTGTAATAGTTATCCGAAATATATTATCTTGACTCGAAATTTTTACATTCGAATTGTAATTAATATTTAGAAAAAAAAACATAATTTAAACTTTTATTTTGAATATATCGATATTTTAGCATTTCATAACCACCATCTTGAATTCGCCATTTTGAATTTAAATTTTGATAGTCGATTTGAAATTAGCCCCCAAAAACCTATAAAACCTATAAAAACCGTCTCCGTATAAAACGCATCTCTTCTGGGAAAGCCGGAGGCACGAAAGGGTTAAATGTATTCTACACTATAATTTAATGTAAATAAATATATATTAAAAATTTTAATTTTTTCCGGGAAATTCTCGAAAAGGAATTCCCGGGAACCAATGTATGTGTGTGTGTGTGTGTGTGTAAGCATGCCTGTGCATATATTAAAGTGTAATTTTATTTTCCTATTACGTACAATATATTTGATCTAACGAATGCTATTTTAGATGAAGAATGTAACGATCGTAGATCATCATACAGCTTCAGAATCTTTCATGAAACATTATGAAAACGAAATGCGTCTTCGAAATGGTTGTCCCGCGGATTGGCTATGGATTGTGCCGCCAATATCTGGATCCGCAACAGCGGTGTTTCATCAGGAAATGGCACTTTATCATTTAAAGCCCTCTTACGATGCTCAGGTATCCTCTTTTCCGAACGTAATTTACTTTATTAAAATGAGATTATGTTTTCAAATTTGCATCTAAAGATATTGTAGCGGGAAAATTATCTAAGATCACGTTGATTCTAAATAAGCTCTTTACAAATTTTATCACTACAATATCTTGGCACGAATTTAGAAATGTTCTGTACAGTTCAAATATCATAATTTTATAGGATCCAGCATGGAAAACTCACATATGGAAGAAGGGGCGCGACAAGAAAGCAATAACCAAAAAACCAAGGCGCAAGTTTCATTTTAAGCAAATTGCGAGGTGTGATCTCAAGTAGAATTACCTAAAAATGACATACACTTTAACTTTCCAACTTCAAAATCAAAATATCTTTTCAGAGCCGTAAAATTTACATCTAAGCTGTTTGGACGAGCATTATCGCGTCGAATAAAAGCAACAGTGTTGTTCGCTACGGAAACTGGTACATCCCAAATGTATGCGGAAAAGCTAGGCGAATTATTAGGCCACGCTTTTCATTCTCAGGTAATACACTATAATATAAAATTGAAAGAATATAAAAATCTTTTAATCTGTAAATTATATTCTACGTGAAATTATTTAATTTATCTCTTTCTTCTAATGTTCAAAGTATGATCAAAATATATTCAAAGTATGCTCAAAGTATGCTGAATGAGATTTAAATTTAAATATTTTATATGATAACCAAGATTAAATTTGTTCGTTTTTTTTAATTACAACTCAACATATTATATGATGTACATATAATCACAAGAATTAAAGCAAACGTACTGAACACAGGTACTTTCAATGGCGGAATATGACATCAGTAACATAGAACACGAGGCTCTACTGCTAGTGATAACTTCTACTTTCGGAAACGGTGATCCGCCAGAAAACGGAGAAGTAGGTTGATCTAAATTATTACAAAAATAAAATATTACATATTTCCAATTTTTTTTTTGTTGTCTTCATTATTTTTATCCGGACAGCCCGATGTTCCCATGTGGACATTGATGATCCCCTTATTGCAGTCAAAGTGCTAAATAATACAAAAAATGTGTTGCAGGTTTTTGCACAAAACTTATATGCGATGAAAATGAACGACGCTTATATAAATAGCGAAAATAAAATAAGGTACTTTCTCACTAGCATACGAGAGAGAGAAAATCAATTATGCATACCTATAATATAAAAATAATTCTCAGTTTGGCGACCTCGAAATCATTTATCAAGGCTAACAGTCAAACGGAAGTGAGTGGATCAAAAAAATTGGATAGATTGGATTCCTTACGTGGCTCCACGACGGAATCACAAGCGGAAGATACTTTTGGGCCTCTTAGTAATGTTCGGTAATTTATTAATCACTTTGCATACATGAAACTTGTTAATTATTTTTCTATTGAATGTTAATTATATGCATCGAAGAGCTGATCTTGAAATATAATTTCTAAGGTTTGCGGTATTTGCATTGGGCTCGTCCGCATATCCGAATTTTTGTGCGTTCGGCCGTTATGTAGACAACTTGCTCGGCGAATTAGGCGGAGAACGATTGGCGCGCTTGGCTCAGGGTGATGAGATGTGTGGACAGGAACAGACTTTTCGGAAGTGGGCAGCTGATACTTTCGCGGTTAGCTTCCGATATGTTTAGATAACAACAATTATAAGCTAATGTATTTATTTTAGAACTAAACGCAATGTTGCTAAACAATTCCGTATTCGATATATAAATTTTTTTATCTTACTAGACATATGTATACTTTTGAGTCTAATGTAAAAGAGTTCAATGTTTGTACAACAAAGTAAATGTACTTAATATTGCAGGTTGCGTGCGAAACTTTCTGCTTAGATGATGACGACACATTACTAGAAGTAGCCTTGTCTTTAGGTTCCGAAGCGTTGTCCGCGGCAACTGTCCGATTTGTGGAAATTGAACCTCAACCAATTGTCAAAGGTAGATGTGTACGATATTTATACATTTATATTTAAATTTCTTTTTACACATATATGTATATAAGCGGAATGTGTTAATAAAAATCAAATTTCAGCATTAAGCAAATGTCACAACAGAAATGTAACAATGTGCAATATGCTTCGAAGAAGTAACATAAGTGGTGACGAATCAAGGTAAAAATTCTGTACAGTTTATCACGGCGTGACTTCACGTCATTCATCCTACGCGCATTAATTTTTATCGCATGTACAGCGGGACGACATTGCTTCTGGAACTGGACGATATATTGGGCTTAGATATCTCTTACAAACCTGGCGATCATTTGGGAGTATTCGCGTGCAATCGAACGGAACTCGTAGAGAGAATATTGCAACGTGTACAGTCTACTTTTGACGTCGATACATCGATTGAATTACAAATGCAAAAACAAGCACATACTCCCAACGGTATAAGCCTAATAAATTTTCATTCTCCTTCTCTCTCATATTATCAATAAATAATAGAAGATCCCTTTCGTAGGTATCGTAAAAACGTGGATACCTCATGACAGATATCTACCGAATTCCTTCAGAATGCTGTTGACTCGATTTTTGGACATTACGATACCGCCTACGCCAAATCTGTTAAGATACTTCGCTTCGATAGCTACAAGCGCAAAAGAACGGGCACAACTTGATCTTCTGGCCTCTGTAAATATGTAAATACGTAAATGTGTAAACGTAGTGTTACGATATACATATTGAAATTCTCAAAAATGTTAAATTGATAAAGAAAAAATTAAGGTCCAAAGTTAAAAGATATTTCTAACTGAAAAAGTATTTTTGTTGGTTACAAATTATTATATATTGTCATTTATAAGGTTTTACTCAATTTTTTTCTACATTGCTATAATTATATTCATATAATTAAAATATAAATATATTTTAGTTCAAATTTAAAATGAATAGCATGAAAAGAAACTTTCCATTCATTCATTTGAAAAGTTTTCGAAAAATTAAAATATTTGTAGATATATTGTAGTTTTTACATACATAACAATGTCTTTCTAAGAAAATATGAAAAGAAGAAATCTATAGAAAATTCGAAAGATTTTCTTTAAAACTAGGATCCGGCAGCTTATGAAGATTGGAGACATTGGAAGTTTCCTAATTTAGCCGAAGTTTTGGATGAATTTCCATCCGTGACTCCATTCGCTCCATTGCTCCTGCTTCACCTAACACCCTTACAACCTAGATTCTACAGCATCTCGTCATCTCCGTGCGTGCATCGAGGACAAATACATCTGACAGTCGCAGTGGTGCAGTATCAAACGCAAGGTATTTATAACAAGAAACCCCACGATAGTGTTCCTCTCCGATTTTGAATGTGTAGATGTGTAGATAGAAAATAAGAGACGTTTTGTATAAACGATCGATCACAGATTTAAGGAGAGAAGTATCCCTTTTAAAAAAATACGTATTTATGTCTTTGAACAGATAAATTCCATCTACAACCTATATATATTCATCTAATTTAATAATAAGCTTATATGTGTGTGATCTAAATTTCAATTATATAATTTGAATAAACTTATTTTCTAGGCGGCTCTGGACCAGTTCATTTCGGTGTTTGCTCTAATTATCTACGAGAAATATCTGAAGGTGAACTGCTATATGTATTTGTGCGGAGGTAAGACATCAATTTTGCTAATTGACCATATGCGATGATTTTTCATCGAATATAATTATTGATTCATGTTTAAGCGCGCCGAATTTCTACATGCCAACGGAGACTAAAGCACCGATGATATTAGTGGGACCAGGTACTGGGATTGCTCCTTTTCGAGGCTTCTGGCATCACCGGCTTGCCCAAATGAAACTTCAGCCGGGTATAAATATTTTTCTTACATGTACTCGCTTATACTTATGATACAAGATGAAAATTACAAACTGTTGTCTTTTATATTAAAATAAAATGTAAGTTTTACTATACAATTTTACATAACTCCAAATGAAACTTAATTAGAAGTTATGAAATTACAGTTATATTAATTTTCCTCTAAAATCATCCTCCAAATTTATCGAAGAATTCAAATGGTTGAGACATTCGAAGATAAATCTATCTAAACTGTACATCTTACACGCGTACATAAATATGTAACACTTGATATTTGTAGACCAAGCATTTGGCAAAGTTTGGCTGTTCTTCGGTTGCCGCCAAAGGAATTTGGATCTATATAGACAAGAAAAGAAAGAAATGTTGGAATCTGGTGTTCTGAACAACGTATTCTTAGCGCTATCCCGAGAACCTGGTTTCAAAAAGGTACGTTATACATTACAATGCTTTGTATGTATGCACATACACATGCATACAATGTCTAATATAATGTACAAAGAGATGGAAATTCTTAAACTTGTAATCTTTTAATCTTAGACCTATGTGCAAGATTTGATCCAAGCAGAAGCTCTTCAGATTTACACAATGGTAGTGTATGAGCACGGTCATTTTTACGTCTGCGGGGATTGCACAATGGCAGAGGACGTTTATCAGACCTTGAAACACATTATACAAACGCACGGCCAAATGACGGACAAAGAAGTCGAAGCATATATGTTATCACTCAGGGTAAATTATACATGCATTACTTTTTATTGCTTGTAATTTATATAATTATCGTCTATTATATTACATAAATATGTCTCATGTTACATAAACATTACATAAATATTACATCAACTTCCGCGTAAACTCAAATCCAACTTACAAAGAGACAGTAGCGTCCTCCTCTGATTTTAATGCGCTTTTAATATATTGTAATATTGCTCAAAATAAGAGACGTGTATCTTGTAAATGCATAATCATGAATTTAGAAGAAGTATCTTTTCGAAAAAAATGACTTCAAAAGACTAAAAAAAATATTTTCAAAGGTATTTTTAAAATATAAAATTATTCTTTATATTAATTTATTGATTCTAATACGATTTATTTTTCCAGGATGAGAATCGTTACCATGAAGATATATTCGGTATAACGTTACGCACAGCTGAGGTACACAATCGATCGCGGGAGACGGCCAGAATTCGAATGGCCGCCGAACCATGAAAATGTTAGACTGATAAAGTGTAGTCCAAGCGATTCGCACTTTTGGAGGGTTGCTATCGTACTAATAATTGTGACATCATATCATCATGTGCGGGAAACTCCTTTTATTTACAAGTAGTGTGACTGATCTTTCAATTTTTAGAAGACGTTTCGTCTGCTTTTTTTCGTAGATCCGTACATATCATTAGTTATATGAAATATTTCACTGACTACATGTTCGCTGCACGTAGTAACGCAATACAGACAAGTATATAGAAATTGTTAATTCTACCTGGTTCTGCTTAAACATAAAGAGACCGTTCAGCTAAGACTCGGTTGCTGTTTCTGGCTGACATTGGCCAATAATTTCTTGATTTCTGCTATCGCTCTGCCAGGGTTCAGACCCTGTACAAAATATTAACGCTTTGATTTATAACTTAACGTTTCAATCTTCGAAATAGCTTTGAAAGAATGAAATCGCTGCTACAATTTTCCGAATAATCTAGCGACTGTTTCGCGAATAAATCTCTTAAGAATTGCAATGCACAATTTCCCAGTCTAACTACCAGATTTTACAAATGATTCCATTATATTATAATCATAATATTATCTTATATCGAGTTTTTCTCCGAGATGCTTACAATTTTACAAAATATATAAACACACAATTGTATACCTGAAAAATAGTAATCAAAACTAAAACAGGAAATAAACGAAATATGCGTTAATTTGATTGATAAAGTAAAAAAGAGTTCTGAAACGAAAAAAAGTCATTGATAATCTGGAAGTTAGACAGGTCCACGTTCGATTAGTAGACTGTTCGTCACAATTACGCGATGTTTTCTATAAAAAATTTATTCGCAAAGTTACGAAAATTTATCGCAAATACAATATATATATATATGTGTATATATATATATATATATATATATATATATATATATATATAATATACTAACAAATATAGAGTATACTTTGAATGTTTACGAATACGAATAATTTCAGATAAACTCTCTTGAATACGAGCATATACTAAGCTATTTACTGAGAGTGATACAAACAAAACGAAAAAAGAAAAAAAGAAATTGCTGTTGTATATTATAATGATTTATTAAAGTAGAGCAGGAACTTACCTTTGGACAAGTACGTGTGCAATTCATGATCGTATGACAGCGAAAGACTGAAAATGGATCTTTCAATTTCTCCAGACGCTCCTTTGCCTGAGTATCACGCGAATCAATAATCCATCTGTAAGCCTAAAAAATACGATAATAGTTGAGAGACTTAGAAAGAAAAATTACGATATAAGTGAGAATTCTATGAAAATAAGTTGTATAATCAATCAAAGTTATATATATTTTTTGTTAATACGAAAAGTACTTTACTGTCAAGTATAGTATGTACTGTTATAAATACTTTTTATAGGTACATATATTTTATAGATATTTAAAGATACAAATATATATCATCTATTCCGGAAAAAAAATTCATGTACTTCAATTTGTGTTTCGCTCGTTCTTAAAGAATCTCTCACTTATACTGCTTCTCTCTTGTTATTGTAGCGACCAATTATTCTATTGTGCGATACTGTGTCTAGAACAATGTGTAGTATTACAATGTGACGTGCTTACTTGCATAAGTACTGCAGGGCCTAAATACTTATCACCATTCCACCAGTAGGACGGGCAAGAGGTACTGCAGCAAGCACAGAGAATACACTCGTAGAGACCATCCTATTTTCGTAAATATTAAATTATTATTTAGTTTTAAGCAAAAGTAATATGATTGTAATTAAAACAAAAATAAGATTTAATAAATATGGCGATGTACTCAATCATCACATTTACCAGCTTTTTTCGGTCTTCTACACTTTGCAAATATTGTTGCTTGCCCATTTCCTTTGTGTCTTGATGCTGCAGCCAAGGTTGTATACTGCGATACTGAGTGTAAAAATTATTTAAATCTGGTACCAAATCCTTGACGATATACATGTGTGGTAAGGGATAAACCTCACATGATGTACTTGTGCTTGTATCAATTTTGCTGAAACACATTATTTCATTAATCAATATATATCAACATATTTATTATTCAATGTGAATAATATATATAAACATGGATAAAATTTTAATTTATATCCTAGACATATGACATGTGTGAAAATAGAATTATAAATTATATCTACAATAATCAATAGTAGTAACTATATGCGATACATTACCTGATGCATGCCAATGTGTTTGTTCCTCCAATATTCATAGCACAGGAACCACAAATGCCTTCACGGCAAGAACGACGGAATGTCAAAGTTGGATCCATCTCATTTTTAATTTTAATTAGTGCATCCAGTACCATTGGACCACAACTAAATCAAAATTTTGTCCAAAATAATATGGAAAAAAAAATATATATAATATATTTTAAATAGATTTAAGAAATATATTTAATTTCCTAATACCTACACATTCAGATCAATTTTATATTTTTGCATGTATGGTTTCTCGTCAGGCTTGTCTGGATTCCAACGGTAAACTGAAAAAGTCTTAAGTCTGGCTTCAGCATTTTGAACCGCTCCTGTATGCAAAGCTCTGACCTGTAAAATTTTTGTGATATTTACTTGTGTGAAAAAAATATAACAAATAAATCATATATATATATATATCCTAACTCTAATGTTTGCACAATTTATACAATTATTTATACAATATATCACAAAAAATAATTTAACTCTTTGTCAGGTGTAAAAAAAGATTTTATAACACAAACTTTTTTTACTGAATTTTATTTATATATATATATATTTATTACCATTCAGCTATATACATTAAATAGCCAAGAAGGGGACTTGGTTTACATTAAACAACTACCTCACACATTTCATACATCCTCCATTCATTCATTCTTTCCGTTCCTCCATACTTTCTATATCTATATCACATTAAATTCTCCTCTCTCTTTCTTCTTTCCTTTACCCTATTTCATTTTGTCCTTTTTCTTTTTCTTTTTCTCCTACTCTTTCTCTCTCTTTGATTTTACCCTCCCTTTCTCTCCACATTCTTTTTAATACTTTCCCTTTAATCTCATCGATTTCATCATCCCATATCCTTTCTTTTCCCCTACCTTCCATACTATCCATCTCCTCGAACCATCTCTTTCCCCACTCACATGTATACATATAATGATACATCTCATCCTGCTCCTTCCCACACATTACACACTTTCTCTCTTCCTCCTCTAACCAATACTTATTTTCTAACTCCAGATTACCGCACCTTAACTTAATAAGCGCTCTCACTTCTCCCCCCGCCTTTGCTCCCATCCTTATCAAACTGCTCTTTTCCAAATACTTATGTCCCTCCCCTATCTTCCTTATATCTTTATACCTTTTATTATACTTTGCCTCCCTAATCTTACTTTCTATCCACTGTTTTTGCACGTCTCTTTC